CAATGAGACTTTTCTCACTAATATGATGATCAATAGCTGGTCGGCTGCAGGAAATTGGACTCTATCTGTCACCGGGAGGAACCGCACCAACCGGATGAGAGAGTGGGTGAAGAATATCTAAGGTCATCGGCCCTGTTCCTGTAATGAGGCCCATTGGGAACGCCACATTATATGTGAAAATGGCTCCAATTAGACCACCCAGCTGCATCGTCCCACGGCAGAGACAGTCGGACAATAACAGACTCACACAGTCAGTCGTGGAGGGGACTGAGCTTCACAGTCAGTCGTGGAGGAGACTGAGCTAGGTTTGGTTTTTTTTTCTTTGTGAGCTGCAATCAATCATTTTGTTCCCCCGTTGTCAATTGCAATTTTTTAGCTTACGAACAAACCAGGAGTTTGTAGAGTCGATAATAAACACCGTGAAAACCTTCGTACACCGGCAGCTACAGGAGAGGAAGACTTTATTTTTTTTGTTTTTTTTTTATTCAGTTGTACGATGCCTCACAGCAGTGATTCCCAACCACTGTGCTGTTCATCAATACGTGACAGGCAGAGCAATAAAATCCTCTTCCACTAGGTGGCAGAAGATGGTGGTTAAAACTAAAAAAAAAAAAAAAAAGATAATCAGAGCTGTCTTTCTTCAATTCCTGACAGTATATCAGTGTTGTGTTCAACTAAACAGTAGTACATTTTTAGTAAATATAAACTAGAAGATTATTATATTTTATTCCATATACTTTTTGTGAGATTTTTGTTTCAGGACGTGCCGTGGAGTTTTTCTTGATGATATATATGTGAGGTTGGGAAACACTGCCTCACAGGACTTGGAGATTATTACATTTATTTTTATTGTTTTCAAATATAAATTTGTTATAAAGTTATACGTTTTATCATCATTTTAATTATTATCATCTCATCATTTTAACCGAGGTCTACATTAACATGCGTCCTTCCTTCTTTCTTCGTTCTCTAATGGTCCGGGGCGTTTCCAGAAGCCAGTGGGAGGGTAAACGGCCCTTCGTCTGTCTGCTCCTGTTGCATTATGGAACTTTCACCCGATCGCCATCGATTAAACTCTGGCTGGACACAGAATGATTCAGCTCTGGGTCATGTGAGGTCGTAACGCTCAAGGTACCAAAAAAAACCCTCTTCCTTAACATTCATCTACTCTTGCTTATTTTTCAGGGTGGGGCCAGTAGGGGGAGACAATGCTAGCAGTCATTTAAAACTGTGTTTTGAGCCAGCTACCTTCTTGCTGTAAGACACGAGTGAAATGATAAATTAATTATGTTTAAATATCTAATCATTGACTCAGCAGGAGATTTTCCGACGTCGTCTCAGTCGCTGTGTTGATGATTTGTTGGAACTCAAGTCATTTTCTGAAGGTTTTTCTACAATATTTCACAAGTTGATGGATGAAACTTTCAAGGCACACACACCCAGAAAATGCTGCCTCTGCAGTTTTTAAATAAAGCGAACTGGATGTGATCAACATTCTTAATTTCCTTCAGTATTTTTTTTTAAATTTCATTTCAGATTCTAAAGCTGTTGAATAAACTGAGACAAATGTGTTTTGTGAATTTGTTCTACAGGAGAAAAACGGACTCGACTTTTGTCATGAAAAGTTCGATTATTATTTCTCTGGCTCCGACTCCAGACGTGTCAAGAACGTTATTATATTTCTTTTCAACCTGAAGGTAAAACTCACAGACACAGTGGATGTGTATCGTCTGAGATACGGCGCCCCCTGTTGGTTGTTAAAGCAGAAAGGCTTCTAACCTCCTAAAAGACTGATTCAAGCCATGAATTAGCGTAGCGGCAGCGTTAGCATCAACGACACTTTAGTTCTGAATCTAAAACCAGGGAAGTTTTCACGTTTACGTGATAATCAGACGGCGTCAACGTTACAGAGAACAACGCGTCGTTTGCGTCTGCCAAACCATCAGCATCACACGGGGAGGCCATATGCTCGGCTCAAAGTGGAGCGCTCGTACTTCCTCTCGGGGATTTGATGGCGCTGAGTAGCTGCAGGGCCAGACGACGGGTGCGTATAGAAATCTGCCCCCAGTGGAGACGGCAATCTGGGAATCGGTGCGTCTACTGTTGCCGTGCAAATTAACGCCACTTATGTTAATGAAGTGCGACACCAGGATCCGTTTAACGACATTAAGGTGGATTATTTTTGTTGTTACATTTCAGTAGCAACAAATGATATTTATTTTATTTTTTTACACGCTGTGACCTGAACTGTAGTAACTGTTATAAAAACATGGAGTCACTGCTCCCTACTGGTCACTGGTCACATGACATGAATGCTTAACATAGTAACTAGTATGATTAGTATCAATATTTTATGACAGTAATCGATACTCAAACCCACAACAGCTGCTGAATAAACCTGATCCAGTCGGATTAGAATCTGAATTTTTCAGGCCGTATTTAAAGATGTTTTCAGTTTTTGTATTTTTACGTGTTTGTCCCAGAGAAACTGGACTGATTTGAATTTTTTTTTTTTCGTTGGAAATGACAGTCTTTAAATTAAGTTACGTGGAGGTTGGTGATCGTGTCGGAGTCGACCTGTTCCAAAATACTGCTATCCAAAAAGGAACGGCCCGAGGAGAAGCTTAGAGGATGTGGAAACTGCAGCTGGATTGATTTGCGGTAATTGATTTTACCTGTTTATCTGCCATACACACACACACACACACACACAGAGGTCATCGCTCTTCTGTACAGTCTGACACTAAAATGACTTTTTCAGTTTCTCATATTTTACCAAGTGGAGGATAAATTCATAAATCCATTCATTCAGATATAAATAAGTGACAGACACCATGAAGCTGCAGCCCACACCGTGGATCTCTTCTTAAACTGTGAGAATCAACACAGAAAACTGCCGGGAGCCACGATGTCACTGAAGTTTAGATTAGTAAAAAAAAAAAACAACAACAAGGAGTAAAAACCAGGGAGACGTGTGGACGATCATCTCTGAAACACTCATTTCCCTCCGTGTTAGTAATCACACACTGTGATTATGTGTCACGCCTGGGATTTCATCATTAATCTGAGGAGGATTCAGCAGCTAACACACACACACACACACACACACACACGGACGAACTGCGGCTGGAGAATCTCAGGTTTGTGTCAGGGCAGAACGAAGGCCAAGAACAAGGAGGAGAAACAATGACGTCAGACGTTCTGTACTTCAGAGGTCGGGATTGGACGAAGTTGAAAAACAACTCCAGAAGAATGTTTCAAATTCTCACTCTTCAATATTTATCAAGACATTTGTATTTCTACAGAAACCAGAAGCAGAGTTGAGGATAAAAATACGTAATAGCTAATGAGAGAAAAAGAGAGAGAGAAAGGCAAGAAATTATAGTCAACATTAAATGATTTCAAAATTCCAACTCTAGCCGACAAAAAATAAAAATTTAAACAACAGTATCGATGAATAGTTTTCTAGTAAAATTCCAAGACTCAGACATAATTAAATACAGTCTTGAATATTTGTTGAAGCTCCTAATAGTGCAACAGAATTATTTTAAATTATTTTTAATATTGATTATTATTATTTATTTTTATTCATTTATTATTATTATGATGATTTATTTTTATCTTTATTTATTATTAATTATTAGTATTTAAATACAGATGCCTGTAGATTTGTTGAAACTCCTAATTTTTATAAATTATTTTTATTATTTTATTATTTATTTCTATTTATTGTTTTTATTTATTTAATATTTTTATGTATTTATTATTTGTGTTATTATTGTTGCTATAATTTATTTAATATTTAAACCTGAACACTGGCCGTAGGTGGCGCTGCAGTGTGTGTGTGTCAGCGGTGGTCTGCTCTAAATCTGCTCCACCCTCAGGTCAGGATCAACATCACTGTAATCTGTTATAATTACGCAGAGCAGTGAACGTGCGCGGCTGTTTACAGCCTGACGTCGTAGCTGTGCGGCGGAGATTAGCGCGTCGTAGCCGCGATAACGACCGCGGGAGATTAAGAAGAAACAATTCTCTCACTGCTGCTGCTGCTGCTGCTGCTGCTGCTGGCGCTGGGCGGCTCTGGACGACACGAAAAGAAAAAACAAAACAAAAACATTTTGACCTTTCATTAATCACATGTTGTTGGTTGTTTTTGTGAATAATTTGTTTTATTTATATTATTGTTACTGTTGTTTTTAGTTAAAAAAACCCACAACGTTTAATTTGTGAAACTATCCCTCCAGAAACTATCCCTCCAGCAGAGGCGCTGTCCCCTCTGCTCCTCTGAGGATCTGGATGGCAGTTCCTCTCAGTTTTAATTCAAGTCAACTTCACCCCCCCACTCTTCAC